CCCCTTGTTTGAGGTCAGGGACATGCTGAATCTGTGAGATGTGTGCTGCACCAATAGTCTGAATATGTGTCATGAACCCTTGGGGAGACTTTCCAGGCATCCTGCTATTTTCACAGAAATCTTGGACAAATGCTCTGAAGCCACTACTATTGTAGTTGTCCCTGTTTCCTTCTATCCACAGTTCCTTCACCAAAAAGAAAATTTAAAAAATCAGCTTCCCATTTCCTTCTCCATATATTTCCAAGTATATGGAAGGTATCACACAGAGAGGGAAAGTTCTTATTTCTTGGTTTCCCTTTCCAGGTACTGTTATTGCAACTTTTTTGATAGTGGAATATTCTTTATCTGTACACTGTATAAGATTAGTGATTTCTGGATCTGCTGATAATGGCATGGCATTTCTCTACTAGCCTCAGACTACTCATCTCCAAACATTACACTGAAAATGAAGATCCATGCATTTGTTACCCAAAATTTTCTATCTATCTCCTCTGTGTAGTCCAGCACCTGAAGCGGTCCTGTGTAGAGAAGTGGGAAAACAGTGAAGGTATTAGTGAAAACTACACCATTTGGGTACTTATGATATCCAGAGTAGTTTATTCAACCTTTTGGTTATTGATATTAGTATTTTTTATAAACTGTTATATCAGTCCATGATCTCCCTCTTTACTAGAACAGGACAATGATATTACCCTTCTCAAAGTCTAAAAATTACTCTATCATTAATATTAATAGTATGAAATGATTTCTGGTGCCTTTGAAGAAGCCATGTCTAGATTTGTAGATAAAGAATATAAAAAGAGCCTTAATAATGTTTGATTTGCAGTATCAGGTATACAGTTCTCAGCATCACATTGAGAGAGGGCTCATTGTTTATCAAATTTGCCAGTACCAGATCCACTTTATGATCTGAACAGCCAACTTGATGAAGTATGTGGATGTGCTGATCTTCCTGAACCCTCTCCAGAGATAGGAATACATTACCCAGCACAGAGGTGTTCAGAGAATTCAATATCATAAACATACCTGTTCATATGGCATTGTACCCCAGGTATAGCTGATTTGTTGCACAGTTGCAGACTGTCTCTGCAGCGAAATTTGGAGTGAGCATGTCTGGGCAGAACCCGAAAAATATCACAGAGTCATTGAATGATTAAGGTTGGAAAGGATCTGAGGTGTTGTGGTTCGAGCCTTATACCCCTCCTTAAAGCACGGCTATCTCTGAACATTTGTCTACATTTCTAGACCAATGTCTAAAGCCTTCTAATTCTATCTGGATGAAATCTGCAAGAGGAAAGACGCTATGTCTAGGCAACTCAGATATAGAAAGCCATTACAAAAGAGAAAATGGCAGAAAATAACATTAGTGATCAGCAACAAAGCTAATCAGGCCAAAGTGGGTGCCTGAATTTAGCTAATGATTTTAAAGTACTTTACAGCCTAATAAACTTTGATCATTCCAGTGGGGATTTCCTCTGAAGAGCAGACTCAGTCCTGCAGTCAGTCCATTAGTTAAGCTATCTTTCTGTTTGTGAATAACGTTATTTACATTTCTGCAGGCTTATTCAGAGAGAGAATACAGGCTGTGTGGAAATAGAAAGACTGTTTGAGAGGAGGTAATGTAAATATTTGGAAGAGGACTGTCCTTATCCAGCAGTCTGAAGGACAGTCTATAATCAATCTGTAGTTACTTGAACAGCTAAATGTAACAAGTGCTTATATTAATACAGCAAAAAGTTCGCATTTAACTTTGACGGAAATATGGTTGTGAGAAATTCTGCATTTAGGCCTAGCTGTTCCATATATGACCACTGTCCACAGTAATTTCTCATTTGAAGACAGAAGTGAAACTACTATTCTTATGTAATATTGTTTGCGGGGGAGCTTTCCTCAGTGTAAAAATAATAAAAAAAAAAGTAATAACTATTTAATTTTATTTCAAAACCAGCTGAATTAGGAAACTGATATGTTAATATTTTTTATCAAAGGATAAATATTAGTTGATTTGGACCATAGAAGGAGGAATGAGAATTTCTATGACAATAATTTAGAAACTGCCAAGCAAAAAAACAAACCAATAAAACCAAAGCCAAAATCAACCTGTTAGAATGTGAGAGAATTCAACAGAAAATGCAAAATATTTCTGTATAGGATTCAGGAAATGTGTTTTCCCAAGGGCATTAGAAAAATACTGGTCAACTGTAGTTCAGGTTGCCTGATGGAATGCTCTTCTGCTGCTTCCTGCTGCCCACACTACTGTCTGATCGAAATTCTGGCATGTATCATCTCGGCTTTCCATTGCTGACATCACCTGATTGCACCATTCATTCAGATGGGTCAAGCCTTGTAACTCCAAACTATGTAGCAGCAATCAAATGAAACTGAACTCCAACCTACACAGCAAGTTTCTGCTTGGTAGCCCCATACAGCTGGCTGTGTTCAGAGCAGGTCAGCTTTACAGCAGTTGAGCCAGCCAGAATTATTGTCATGCAAGGGAGGATGTGGCCCCTTAATTTTTTTTCCTGATGTTTGGTTTTATTTCAAACCCGGTCCCCCCACAACCTTGTAGCATTATTGTTTCATGAATACATTGTTTCCATTGAGTACTGGCAGTCCTGACATTGATAGGTAGTGAATCGATACCTTTATAGAATCACGAAGCCAAACTAGTTCTGCAGATCCACAATGTGCAGTATGTGTTTTTTCATTCTGGATGTAATAGCTGCAATTTAAAATATGCCCCCACAAGCACTGATTGCATGCTTTAAGAAATTCACAATAAAGAATTTAATTAAGAAAGAAGAAACTGTATCCATCCATTTTAAAAAGAAAAATTCACCCGAGATGTTTTTTTTTTTTTTTTAATTTTTGGGCTATAATAGCAATAGCCATCTTTAGCTGAGGACATTTCCTGGGGCTTAATGGCCCATGGCTGTGCTTCTTCAGGTGATCATCATCTCCCAGCAGTCATTAATCCCCTACAAATACACTGCACCTCAGTCATTAAATGTGCTTAAATGTGCTGCTTCTGAAAATGAAATACTTCTATATTTAATGCATCTTCCAGGAATAGAAATGCTCTTTGTGAGGTGAGGAATGAAAGGAGTTTAGTAACATGTCAGAGAATTACTAATTATGGCAAGTGGATAAGATCTGTTTCTGGAGATAGCATGACAAAGAATTTTTCAACAGTAAGAGGATCTTATGTGTAAGTCATCATTTTATGTATGTCACAATTCACACTCATCCTGAATACGTAACAGGCAATTCAGAAAAACAGATAGTTATTTGTAGTTGGTTTTCTTCTATGGGGCATCTCAGTCTTGCCATTCCATATCTGTAAAATAGAGCTATGCAATTTTACACAGTGTTTATGATAATGCAAAGAAAAAAATAAGTTAAATCTTTCATATGTAAAGGTCTGAAATTCTTATAAGTCTTTTGATGACAATTTTATGAGTCTTTCTTACAAATGGGATGACAAATACAGCATCAACAGCGTCATCAGAAGTTTTAAACACAGTAGACTGCCTACTCTTCCTCAAGTAGAATTATAGCCTTCAAAGAAAATAGTTGAAGGGGATTTGTCTTGATAGAAGTTGAATGGAGATTGGATTTTTAAAATTTGATTGGAATTCTACTTACTGATACTTTGTGTTATTTCCATCTTGTGCTGCTAAGTATGTACTGCATAGATTATGTAAAGCCTGTACCTGTCCCAAACAGGCTGTGAGAGGGATTAGACCTGATCCCATCATGTTGCCTTCAATGAGTGCAAAATGGGTACCTTTTAGAAATTATAGTAATTTATTATTTATGTTAGACATTCAGATCTCAAGTACTTTGGTGAGTGACTGTGTAGATGAGGAAAGAAGTAGATTTTTGGGTGATGAATTGTTAAATGTTGAATGTTAAATTACCTTAATGTTAAAACTGGAGCTATCCTAGACAGTACCTTTTAATTGCAGATTAACCTGAAAAAGTAATCACAGTAACCTCTAATAACCAAAATTCATGTTCTTTTCAATTTTCTCTGTCCCGTCAAATAAGCAAAAAGATACCTGAACAAAACATCTCTCAGTATAAATTGAATGTTTTGTTTAACTCGCAGTAAAAAAATTCACTTTAGTAACCCATAATGATTGCCTCAATTCTGAAATTTGCTAAGTTAGAGAAATTTTTCTACATGAAAGACAAAAGTTTCTCTCAGGAAATTTAAAATAAAAAATTTCACATACACACATATGCACCCACTTTTTATGTTACTCTCTCTCTTGTTTTTTTGGACAAAGCTACTACCTGAATTAGACTTTACCCTGCAAGTATTCCTATTAATTTCAAAGCAATTTTCAGCAAATAAACTAATGAAAAAAAAATATTAGATCTCTCAAAGTTCACTGATTAAAAAAAAAAGATGCGCAGAGCTAATGGCAAGATGAAAAGTATTACATCTTTAAGTTGTTGCCAATCTAGTTTATATCTCATCATAAATAAGAGGTTGAGGAATAAATACCAATCTATTGTATTGCAGCTAGAACACTTATTTCACCATAGACTCTACCTAAGGCTACTTGAGGCATTTGTACCCTACTATGCAACTTACAATGTCCTCATTCTTCAGACCATTTCCCCAAAAAACAGTTAACATTTTTTTATCTACTTTCTGTCACAGCTGGTATCGTCATCATCCTGTCTTCTTATATATGATTCTGAGTACTCCAAATCTAAACTCAATTACAAAGTAGGGAAGGTCATGCAGGTTTTGCCAGTTTGTTTTGGTAACGTTCAAAAAGAATAAATTCAAACAGAAATGTACACAATAAAGAGTAATAGAAAATAGAAAGCATACATCCCTAAAGTGAATTTATCAGTATGCCTAGAATTCCTGTACAATTTTTCTACTCAACAGCAGGCTATTTTCATCAATTCATTATATTTACAGTCAAGTATAATTTTAAAAATCTTATATAATGTTTCTCATTTTAAATTTTGTGTTGTAGATCTTGTTTTCCCTCTGCGCTGCATTCTGGGGAATCCAAATTATGACGCGGATCACATCACCCAAAGATAAACATCATTGAAAGAGCAGATCCAACATTGCTTTAATTATGGAAACAGCACTTTGGAATAGCCTTCTAAGTTCCTTGGAATGAATCAAACATGCATCTTACTGAATTGCAATAGTTTCACTTATGATAGGAGATGTTAGTGAATTTATATGAAAGTTTGGAAGATTCATTAGGATGTGTATTCATTTTTATTTGATTAAAAAAATATATATTTAATGTCCCCCAATTTAAATAAAATGTTTGTTCATAATATATTTTTACATTCAAATGATTACAAAGTCTTAGAACCTGTGTAAAACTAATTGCATTTTGCAATGATTTTCTTAGTAATCATACGTGAAGAGTATTTTTCACAAGAGAAATAATTAAAATCATATCTATTGTAATCTGGTATAAAGTGACTGAATGTCTTCCTATTTGGGCTAAACGTAAACATATGTGAATGTCGTTTTTTCCATAATGATTGAATTACACTAGAATCTCAATGTCATGACCAATTCAGTGTTCATAGCATACAGCTACATGAGGATGAGTAGTTGAGGCACGAAAATGATTAAAACCAGCATGATAAAATAACTCGAACTAGTATGAGTTGAAACATCTTCAATAAAATTGGCTAATGTATGTGTTGTATAATGCAGACTTGCAGTTTAGACTGAAGTATTTAAGGACTACACCTGCAGTTGCCAACTTTAGATACTGATCAAACCAGCACTTACACATGGGTATCCCATTGACTAATGTTACTCACGTGACAAAATATTTGCAAGGCTGGGCCCTTAATTTCTGGTAATTTCCTGCCGGGGTGATCTCAGGAGAGATGCACGTCTTGTCTTTCAGGAGCTGTTGGAAAGATGTTTTGTACTAAGATAGGAAAATTAAATACAAATGGTAAAGGGAGTCTCCAAACAGCAGGACTGGCAAAAATACTGGAGCTAGGTTGTTTTTCTTTCCTCACACTCTTCCAACTTTTTATTTGGCTCCAAGACTTTTAGAAGTGCTTAAAGTCAAGTAGCTAAAAAATGTAGGCTGTCTTGCATGCTTCAAACTAGTAATAATACCTGTATTTAAAAATGGGTTTAAGTTTGGGTTGTTTTTTTTCCCATTCTATTTTCCTTTAAGACATTTATGACATGCTAACAGACATCTCAGATTTAGTCAGATAGCCTACTTTTAATTAACCCATATTTTCAGTCTCTAGCTTTAACAGATGCCACTGTCTACATAATTGGAGGTTTCAAATTAATTGTCAGTAACACAATGATGTTATATAAAGAAAATTGATCCAATGTCTAGTGATAATATCAGCTTAATTTTATTTAAATTCTTACTTTAAAACCAAAGTTTTAAGTTACTCCATTTGTGTATCAAATGCCTTGTGCCTATCACTTTAGATTGTGCTCAGTGACCTTGAAATATTTGACTGAGAAAGCAGGTGTTATTTTGATAAGAGATACTAATACCTGGGATGCAACGGAAGGATAATACCTTCCTAAACTGAAGGCATGTTTAAATAGAGGACTTACTTGTGGATCTTCTTCATTTTACATAATGAGAAGATTAAAAAAATGGTGCAGGAAAATCCTAGAAGAAATCAGATTTTAAATACTTGTTGAGAAGTTTAATTCAAATGTTTATTCATTACAAGGTAGGATTCCAATGTCTTTTTAAGAAATGGATAAATACAATTATATACCTCTGAGTTCAAGATTGGAAATATAATCTCATGACTAATGCACTGGTGCAGCAACCAGGAGCTTTCTTTGGTACTACCATTTCTGACCAAAATTTACCATCTCTTTGCCTGAATTTCCCCATCTGTGGAATGGGGATGGATAGCAATACTGAAGTTATCTCTCACCGTAATCAAAATATTGCATTTGGGATCTTTCCCTTATGAAGCTATTATAAGATCTTTAAGAAAATGACAGAATCTGACTCCAGAAGTACAACACAATCTACAAACTTCTTATGTGACCCCATAAATCAGTGTACCTATGTTTTCAAAATTTGTAATAGTGACACCAACCTCACAGGAATATTTTGAGGTCAGTTTAATATAATGACTAAGTAGCATAATGAAGAGTCATACTGAAAGTCAGTTTCCTTATCAAAATAAATCCTTCAAAGAGACGGGAACAGGTTAAAGATTTAACATTTTCTGTATTTAAAAATCTGCCATCTTAGAAGGATAATAATGAAGATCTGAATTAAATTAATTTTAAAGGTATCCTAATGAATGTCATTTATTTATATGAAGTAATGAAAGGAATATGATTTCAAAGGTAAATTCAGATTAAGATGTAAATGTTCTATGTAAATCACCGGCTTCTCATTCTAGTAACTATCATTTGCCTACAAATAAATAAAAAGATACAAATAAAGTAGTGACAAATATAAAAGGCACAGTAGTTTAACTAAGATCTTATCTGAAAGAAAACAGTTGTGCTTATATGAAGTCAATTCTATTAAATGAAAGATGCAAAAAACAGGCACAAAGTATACTCCAAATAAACTCCTGCTACAGCCTACTGTCTCAGAGATCCTGAACTCTACAGAAATCTTACTTTCCTATCTTAGATATGTCTCATTTCTCAGCTTGATGGGAATCTGGAAATTAAACATTCCTCAGCTTCAATTTGGCAGTTCCAGTTTGGCCAAATGAGGGGGGGAATCTACTATTGGGAACATCTAACATGTCTGATAGAACTGCTTGCCTTGTAAAAAGTGGCTGATGAAGTCAACCTCATAACTAAAGCAGAGGCCCAATACATTTCCTCTTTTCCATGGGTTTTTTAATCCCAATTTCCTACTTCCAAAGACTTGCCATTGTGTATAGGTTGTTTGAAAGCAAGGTGCATGAGAGGAGCAACGTTTTTCCTATTGCATACTGAGCAACAGAGTCTGAGAACAGTTCCTCTGGCTGAAGGCTTGAACAGGCTCATCATGGGTGTCCCGAGACTCTTCTACTTTACAGTAACATCCACTGGGTATGTATAAGCAATCCTTTGGATACAGACTGGAAGCTGGAGTTTGCCTTTCCCAGAAAAGAGGGAGTTTCAGGAAGAAACTCATAGAAACATCCCTGACTGCATCATTTTCCCATTAGCTCTGTGGTAGGTAGCTATATTCCTGTCAACTTGCTTGTCATGATGTTTTTTAATATAAACTATTTAAATATTTTAGACACCTACCACCAGTACTGGATCTAGTTTGTACTGTCTTTATAGCCACTGTGAATGAGTCACCCGAAAGATCTCTGGTTTTGAGTGATAGAGAGAATCTGGACGCTAGATGGCAAATGAATTGAATTATGTGTAGTTAATATATTACTTACAGTTAATTGAATGGATTAAATGCTAACTACAAGGATTGTTTACTGCTAGGATATATTAGTGATATTTTGGTAAGCCACCCTTTTCTCCTCACCTCTTCAATATTCAATTGCTTATTTCTTTAGAGTTTGACCATGTTGTGTGGTTTATACAATTGTATGGGATCAAATGAAATCAGGTGAATTATGTAAGGAAATAGTGAACAAAATGTTGATGCAGAACTAATAGATTTTGTGCAAGTAACTATTTTTCTTTTATAAAGCCACTGTTTCATATCTCTCAAAACAAAATTATTCTACAGGCTAAAACCGTAGCCTCACATATCTAAGTGAGAAACTTCATAACATTTGCAATATTCACAGTATTGCTTAAGACTTCCTTTTGATTCTGTTTGTCATTAAACTCCCCAGCGGCACGCCTTGGGGGAAAAATGTAGATAAACAACTTTTTTCAGCAAAAGTGTTAAAAAAGTGACTTCCCCTGCTCCTTCCAGCTGTTGTAATGTCACATCCCTACACATGGCCTTTCCTGGACTGTGTACACAGCAATATCAAGTTACTGAAAGCCCAGAAGTTAGCAGCTGAATCCTGTGTTCCCTTGAGAGCTGACCCTGTGCCATTCAAGTAACCGAAAAACTTGCTGCTGACCCCAGGATTAGGTCAGTTAAAGCTGTAAACTGTGCATACCAGACACAAAAGACTCAGGGCCCTTTCTTTTGTCTTTCCTGTCTCCAGTTTTCTCTCGGGGCTTTGGGACTAGGGACATAGTTACCTAAGCCATTATCTAAAAGAGGTAGTTGATCAGATATTTTAATGATTACTTTTTACAGACAAATTTCTGTGAGCTTTCAGGATTTTATGTCATGTGATTAGACACTATTAAACTGAGTGGCTCTGAAGGTAACAGTTGTTTGGACTTTTCTTCTTTGCTCTTTAACTTGTGATAAAAAGAGCTATGTCTCAGCAGTGATGTTCATCAAGAAGAGCCATAACTCTCAGAGGATGCTCAAAGCATTGCCATGTCTTGCAATATTATGCAAACTATGTTGCCCATAGTTGAAGTTTTTCTTAAAACTCTGGCTCCTAGAATCCTATGACTGCAGCTTGCTTTTTTTTTTTTTTTTTTTCCTTACTTATTTGCTTTCTCTAACAAATGTTTCTGACTGCTGAAAACAAGAGCTATAGAAGGTTCAGAATCTACAAGGCAAACGAGGATTTTAATAGGTAATATTTTAAAATACTTTCCCTTTTAAACCACCCTAGTAATTACATGAGGCTTGACTCATGTTTTTTAACTCTTGGGATTGCTAATGCTGAATGGGAAAAAACTATTCTTGGTCTATCCTTTTTCCATAAAACCTCTGGTTCCAGCATAGACATATAAAATGGCCATGAGGCAGAGTTTTGCTGGGTTTCCTGGTTCCCTGCTGGTGTTTGACCTGATCAGTTTAGAATTAAAACAAAGTGGGCTGTCTGAGGGCCCACCACCCTCAATAACTCTCAGCACATGCAGGACCTCAGCCACAGTGTGTTGTGTTACCTATCACTCCCATCAGTTCTGGTTGAAGAAAATGCGATCTACTGCAGACTTCAGGATTTTCTCTTTCTACAGGGGGAACAAGTGTAAAAAGACCACGTTTGAAACTCAGATACAAACCGCAAGGTAAAGCAAAAATATGGTATCTCACATACTTCAGAAGCACTTCCATATTAGTATCAGGGCCAATGGAAAACTTGGCTTGGCCCTTTGTCATTTTTGCCCCACCTATGGAAAACAGCAGAAAGATGTGGAAACATTGAGTAGGAATGAACTGCTGAGTGTCCTTGTGTTTATGGTTTGGCAAAGGAAAGTGATACAAAATGAATCCTCTCCCCCTCCACCCCTTGCTATATTTGTAATGCTTCCTCCTTTATTCTTTCTTCCCATTTTTCTGTCTGTCTGTCTCTGTCTCTCTCATGTTTATTTATCTTTGCAAAAAATCCTCTCCTGTCTTCTTTTTGGTTTGTTATGCATGGAGGTACATAATGGCGTATTTCATATCCACAAATATGTTATTTTATTTTAATGGACGAGAGGGAAACTTACCTAAAAATTACTCTTTACTGTTCCTATCAGTCAGCAGGCTCTTCTAGTATTCAAAACACCCAATACACTGCTCATATACTGTTTATATTATATTTATTTATTGCATATGTATCTGCTTACTATACTCTAATCATTAATTTTCTCTATCCATTCCAGTAACGTAGCACTGTCCTTTTCCCAGTTTCTACTTCCTGTCCTGTTTGTTTGCTATTAGTTCCTTCTAGTTACTTGTTGTGCCTTCAGCACCGTGATTTTAGTTATCACTGTCTCTCTGTGCCTCAGGATGTACTACTACAGTTTTTATGCGCTGTTTTCTAACCAGCTGATTTTGGTGGGGCAGATGCAGGCAGCCCAGTTCTAATGGTGTTTGAATAAAAAGAGATTAAAGTAATAAAGAAAATTGTGGAACATTTTTAACACTATGGAATTTGTGATGTTTCTGCTCCTTACATTTTTCCACAAACCTTGAACGTAAGTACTTATCAGAACATTAATTATAGAAAAGTGTTCCAGGAAAGAAAAATACTGTAAGACAATTGAACTACAATTTTTAGATCGAAGAATAGCCTATTAGCTGACTGAGTGTGATCATGAATTTTGCTGGTGTCTGTCTGCACTGAGGTCATGAGCCTGTTATTTGAAGATAATGGCATTACTCCTTTGCTTCAAGTAGCAGCATTTGTGACTTCAGTTCTAACAGCCCTTTACCTTCTTTCCACTCATGACTCACATCTGACTCATTACCTTTAATCATTCTGAAGGCACGGATTTTATTTTTGCTCTTCTTTTAATCACAGAGCAAAAAAAAACCTAAATGCTTTGAGGGAGGCTAAGGTGTTATACACTGCAGCAGTGTAGGTATGTACCAACATGCTTATTTTTGGAAAACCTCAAGTGCTCCTAGTTTCATATGCATCTCCACAAACTGGATTTCACAGCGATGTCTACCAGAGGAAAACCTGATGATCAGGGATCGGTGGGAGAAATGAAGGATATGTTTCTGAGATTCTAACAGCAAGGTTTGCTATTGAAGGTCAGATCACCTTTGGTTTTATTTTATATATGACTTATTTTCCCTGAAATATAGCTGTAAGAGAGGATTAATGTATTCATGCCTTTATGGCCAATAATAAGATATATACTTGAATATATATTTTTCTTTGTCAGCAACATTCCTATTATTCATGGGAAAATCTAAGAATGCCTCATGCCCATGGTTAATTATACCTGATAATTGGACTATAGTATGTGTGTAAACAGCCTTATTAATGAAGAACAATGAACAATAGTTTGTGCTACTGAAACAGAATTATTGCTCAGTATTTTTTTCTCCAGGATTTCTCCTTGCAAGAAACTCCAGTGGTGGTATTGGAATTTAGTTAGCATAGTCCTGGGTGTTACAGGACCATGGAAACTTGCTGTACACTACTAATGGCTTCCTCTTTGCACCTCTTTATGGAAGCCCTTAATATTTTTCCCTGAGGAATCAACCAACTCTTAAGATGTTACATGAAAAATAACTCATCTCTGAGTGTGGCTGAGAGACAGCTGAGCCCTGGCAGAGGTGGGCGTAGTACCATAACAAGCAGCCTATGCAAGGTGAGATGATCACTCTCCCTTCCCCAGCGTTTCCAGGTGGGGAGGCAGAGATGGACTTGGGCAGCAAAAGTTTCAGAGTAAGAGAGGAGCACAGGTTGTATCAGACCCCGCTGGGGCATCAGAGGAGGGTACGCCTTGGCAGAGGGACACGGTAGGAGGTTGGCTGTCACAAGCCTACTGAGCACAGAATTGAATAGCACAGAGTCCCTCTCATTCAAAATAGAAAGTTAGTAAGGACAAATATGGCAGAGAAGATGGCCCATAAACAGTGCTTGGGGCCTATATGGGGGTGGTGTTTGTTATTATTATTCTTTGTTTGGGATTCTCCTGTTCAGGA